CTAATTAAGAGACGTTCTATTAATTATGAGCAGTTGAGCAGAACCAGGTCTTTCAGGGGAAGTGTAAAAGTGACAGAAAAGCCATTGGTGGAGTGAGGGAGCCATTGTGTTCATGTCCTTCTAATTATAATTGTCAAGTTCTTTAAATTCTTGATAGGGTTTGAATGTTTCCATTTTTTATCAGCTATGTTTGCTCCATGAGTGGTGGTAACTGTGGGTATTGTTGTTATTATTTTTGATTGATTGATTGATTGATTGATTTCTATCCCACTTGTCTTCTCAGAAGGCACAATCTAGTGTCCTAAGCAGCATGTAATGCATTGTGTTTTTTTTTCTGATGGACCTGCTAGAAGCAAGAAATCTAATGACAGGGAGTATATCTGAACCTCTTGTTTGTTATAATGTCATGTTATATGTACATCAACCATATGTGAAGGCTATATGAGAGCTAGATCAAACCAAGTCAGTTTTATCGGTATTCTGCATACAAAATTGCCTTCATTTGCATCCAGGAAAGATTATATTTGCAGTTTATCCCCAACCTGGTCATTCAGATCTGCCAATGGTGCACCCTTTGCCGACATAATTGAGTCTATCTATCTTGCTGTTCTGTTTTTCTCTCTCCTTCTACCTTTCCCAGTGTTATAGAGTTCTCAAAAGAGCCAGGTCTTCAGATAATATGTCTAAAATATGATAATTTAAGCCTGATAATTTGTCCTTTGAATGAAAACTCTAAATTATTTGTTCTATAAGCAGTTTGTTTGTTTGATCCCGCCTCCCCCGCTATCCATGGTATTCTCAGGAGTCTTCTACATTACTTAAGGATGAAAATTCTCTTTCTGTAGTGTTCTTCAAAATCCAACATACCCTTCCATAAAAGTGCCATATTGCCCGTATGAATCTAATCTCTGTAAGTATAGACATATCTCGGCTTCTGAATATCTTTTCAAGGCCATCATTGGTACGTTAGTGGGCACTGGTCTGTGACATATTTTTTACTGCTGGTTCCTTTACTACTGGTTCCTTTTACTGCTGGTTCCTTTCCTTTGATGATAGTTGATTCTAAAATGCAGAAGCTATTCACTATTTCAGTATCATCCTGGTCATTTCTAAGTGGTTGCTCCATCTGTTGTCATTAGTTCTGTCTTAGTCCCATTTTTCATTATTTGACTTTTATGGCTAGAACTTCCAGATGTTTTCCATTTTCAGCTATTATAGTAGTGTCATCAGCATATTCTTCCTTCAGCCTTAAAACCATGCTCATTTTTCTAATAATTCTGCTTCCCGCAATATATATATTCAGTATGTAGGCTGAATAAATAAGCAGGGTATATATAGACTTGTCTCATTTTTTTTTATTTTTTTTTGCTGACCTGCAGCCAGTCTGTTTTAGCATGTTCCAGTTGAATTGTGGTTTCTTGAACATATATAGGTTTTGTATGAATACAATGAGACGTACTGGGTGTCCGGCCAGCCCAGCCAGCTCCGGCCAGCCCAGAGACCTGGAGCTGCCATTCAGGGGAGAAACCCAGGCCAGCTGCCAAGACTCACCAGGCTTCACTTCTCCACAAGCAGTTGAGTAAATCTACAAAGCTAGTAATAACTGACTGACAACAATCCACGATTAATTGCCGGGTGGTTTTTGTTCTGGGTTATGAGGGGATGGGTGTGCTCACACTTGGGGTGCAGGTTATCCTAATTACTAAGTAACTATAAAAGGTGGTGGGGCACACTGGGTGGCAGCTCTGACAATTTGTTCATTGCCTTAATGCTCCAGTTCGTGCTGGAGGAAGAATACAAACTGCATTTACAAGCCGTTTTGGTGTTTGGCTCTTTTCATTAAACCTTCGGAACCTGACACTGGGATTCTATTTTCCTAGGGACATTCCGCAGCTTGATATGGTTGAAACACTTTATTACTTTCTATAATCAGTGGAACACATGTTTACTTATTTTTGGTATTCTTTGGCTTTCTTAATTATCCAGGGTGTGTCAGCAATAATGTCTAGTGTTTCTTGGCTTTTCTAAAATTAGTTTGAACATTTGGGATCTCTCTGCATACAATTTTAATCTACATTGAATGTCGCTTAGATTAATATTTTATAATAGTATTATTATTAGTACTTATTTTACTAGCATGTCAAATTAAGGATACTGTATGATAGTTGTACACTCTATTTAAGTCTCCTTTCTTTGGTATTGGCATGTATACTGACCTATTCCAATCTGTTCATCAGATTGTGTTGTTCTTGCACATTTGATGACATAGTTTACTCAGAAACCTTTTTTTTTAGATATTCCTGTAGTCTTCTAATTTGGTAATGATCAGAGTGTTGATTTAATATACTCTTCTAATACTACAGATTTATGTAAGTAGGAAATATTTTTTAGGTATCGTGGATGTTGACATCTCTATTTTACATAATTTCAGTAAGCTCTTACTTTGGCCTCCCTTGAATCAGTTATTATCTGTCCATTGTGACTTTTAGAGTACCATTTCAAGACTGGATCACCTTCTGAGTTCAGAGATTGTTTGGAAGATTTTCCTTATTTTTCTTTCTCTGTTTTCATTTCCAGTATCTTTTTAGATGTCATTGTACTACTGCCTGTTTTCTCATCCACTAATTCTCTTAGTTTCTTTCTGATATCTTTTTCTGTTATGGCTTTGGCTTCTCTTCTTGGCAGTTTCCATGTTGTCTTCCAACATCAGTTTGCTTCTTTCTTTTTCTTTATCTTTGGAATTCTTTTTTCACATGAATCCTTAACAACTTTTTCTTCACGCTTCCTCTTCATGGAGAAAATCTATTTGTGTGGGTCACTAAGAATCAACACTGACTTGATAGAACATAATCAAACAATTCCTCTGTTTTCTTATCAATGAAGTTCAGATCTTCAAAGTAATTCAGGATGTTCTCTGAAAATGATGGCTGTATGTTCAAGATTATGCCATGTAAATTGAGTGACTTTCTTCTTCACCTTAGCTTGACTTGGAACTTGTACAAGTGAAGTTCATGGTCTGTTTCACAGTCAGCCCTTGGCCATGTCTTTGCTGTTATAAATGACTTTGTTCAGGTTTTTCTTAATATGGTGCAGAAGACAGACACAAAGACTGGATTTGTTTTACCCACAGAAATTGCTTTATTGTACAAAACTAAACTCCTATTCTGTACTTCTGTAGTTAATGTTAATTCTATGCTCATTTCTATTTTCCTACTTATTTTATTCTGCTATTTATATAAGTTCACAACTAATAATAAAAATAATACAATAAAAAGAAAATATATACATGAAGACGTAATTTCTAACTGTCATTACAATAAGTGTAGACAAATTTACTAAGTGCTTAGTGGACACCTCCTATAAGACTACAAACAGATATCTCTTCATTTCCTATCCTATACCTTATCTATAAACAAACTCATAAACGATCAACATTTAAATCCTGGGGTCAGCAAGAAATCTGTTGGTTTGACAAAAGTGTGTGTGTGTGTGTGTGTGTGTGTGTGTGTGTGTGTGTGTGTGTGTGTGTGTGTGAGAGAGAGAGAGAGAGAGAGAGAGAGAGAGAGATTTTAATTTTGATCACATAAACCAACTTTAGATTCCATTTACTTCTACGGTCTTAGTTATTTCATTGAAATATTATAGAATTTGATATATCTTCAATTCTTCTTTATATCAATAGAAGAGAATAGGAGCGAATTGTGAATTCCTTGCTGCTTTATGAACTTGGTTGTTTTCTTGCTTGTTTCATTACCTGGCTAGATAACATCAGCAGTGCTAATGGGTATAGAGTTTGTTCCCTGCCAGTGTTGATGGAGGTTGATTTTCTCCTTAGTAGTTCCTTGATTAGGCTATTGTTTTCTCCTTGATTGTTTATCTGCTTAAGTGTTTGTCTCTTTGTAGTTCTTTATTAAGGTATTGTTTTCTGCTTGGTTGTCTGGTATTAATTGTCTAGTATTAATTTCTGCTTATCTTGGTGTAGAATGCTTGAAATAATGTGTTCTGTTTGTTTCTTAGCATTTTCATTTTCTCTTTTGAATAATGTGTACATGAGATTTATCTTTGTGTATATTGACGGCTGGTGTGCTTGGATGTCAAACTTCCAGGAATTCTGTCGCAATTTTCAATTAACTTAGTCTAGGATGCTCACAGTTTACCAGTTGAAACTATGATTGAGTCTGTCCATTATCTGTTGTGAGATTATTTTACCATGTCTTCTGACTGTTAGTTGGTGTTCATGGATGTGCTCTGCTAATCTTCTGCTTGTCTGTCCTACATAGTGGCCGTTATGATCCTTATAGACTCTATAGTCCATATGTTGTAGATGACTCCTGCTTTTTCTTTTTCAGCTATTGGATCTTTTGGTTTAGTTAAGATGTTTTGTAGGACTTTAGTTAGTATGGCTAACTAATGGCTATGGTGATGCCATGTAGCAACCAAGGACTCCACAGTTCAAATCTGAGAGACATATATTCTCTTCTATACAACAGGTTGTAATAATCTTTTCTAAGTTTTTTCTAAGATGTTTCTAATATTTCATGGGTGTGGAGAGCATACCGTCCCTACTAGTTCGGAGACTCAGTTGCCATTTCCACTACCGGTTCCACTGAACTGGTGCAAACCGGTAGGAACCCACTTCTGCTTCACACCTAAAGTGATCCTGTGAGGCTATTATACTCAATTGCTTTCTTCACTCCCTGATTCCAGAACACACCTGCTACCATGAGTTTGCAAGAGTTGGAGGTATGCACGGGAGTGGGCGGTCAAAAAGGTGAAGATGATAGCTGCAACTGTCTAAACCCACCATTTTTAAATATAGGCTTGTGCAGGGTGTGTAAAAAGGGGCAAAAGTGGTGTCCGTCCGGAGTGGTAGGGATATGTCAAACATGGAAACAACGTTTGCCCAAAGTGAATTGGGCTGTATTCCCACTAGTGTGTGGGGGAAAACTTCTAAAACATGAGCAAATATAAATTTTGAGGTTGTCTCAATTTGTCTGAAGGTGCTGTTGTGGCGTGCTCAGCAAGAGGAGGCTGCCCGTCTGGAAGCTGCAATTGCCGCCGGAAGAAAAGAAGAAGAAGATGAAAAGGAGAAGTTTCGGAAAGAAAAAGAATGCCTTCAAAGAGCGGAGGATAAAGAAAAAGTATGCAATCTGTCTGTCTGCGTGTTTGTGTGTGTGTGCGTGTGCGCGTGCATGCGCATGCACGCTTTAAATGCTTTAATATATTTAAAACGTTAATTGATCTGGATACTTTATACTCTTGTAAGCAGTCTTAAGGATTATTACAGAGATTAATGAGTGCTTAGTAGATATCAGCCAGGCCAGTATATTTTGCAGCTTTGAAAACTCTTGACTTTTTCACAGCCATGTTAAGTCTCCCCGCCCCACTCCCCCCCGCCCCATTGGAAAAAAAAAAGCCTATTATGAAGAGCATGCTTGCAGGCATATGCCTACTGTACTCTCACAAAGAGAGAGACAGAGACAGAGAGAGAGAGAGAGAGAGAGAGAGCGCGCAGAGAAGCCAGCGAGAGGCAGATTTTTGCTGTCAAGAGCAACCGTGGCAAAGACCAGAGTGGTTTGCAATGCAGCAGCAAAGGTATGCTGCAATGCACCAAATAAGCTTTCCCGGGGTAATGCCTGCACAAAGCAAATGAAGCATCGCAGAGACCGCTTCGGGGAACAGTGGGCCTGATGCCCAGTAGCAAAGATAGGGGCAAACGCCTGAAGTGGGTCTCAGGAAGTCTGTTTGCATTATTAGCCTTCCTTTTTCTGATCCTTTGAGAAGCAGAATCCAGAAGGCAAGCAATCAGCAGCCTCCGAGAGGGAGAAATATGAAAAAGAGGATCGTTGGAATTACAGCATGTATTATATGGCTCCTCGGAATGCCATTACCACAATGGGGGCTATTAAGTAAAATTATTATTATTATTATTCTTTTTTTACTAAACATCATCTTCTACATTTGAAGGTTCAGATGCCTTGTTTAAAAGCAGCTTTTCAGAATGGGATTCCCGGGCTCTCATAGTACAGTTCAGTGTTTTTATTGCCGAATAAGTTATAACAAAAATAAAATCAGGTAAAGTGTAGAGCTTTATTTTAGGTGACTTATTCTATTTTTGTTTTGGTTTGAGAGGGTGAAGGTTAACTGTAAATAATCCCTTTTTAAAGAAAGAGTGCCTTTATCACTCTTTTCAAGACTCACTGAAATAAATATGATTAGTGGATGCAAAGAATTTCTTCTTTCATAAAATGAATTCACCGATGAAGGAAAAAGCAATCATACGTCTATTTGGAGGAAAACATAATGGTACTTCATCCTGAAAAAACTTAGCATTTATTCTTGTGAAACATTAAAACCTGATTTTTCAGAAGAGGAGAAAAGAATGGCAAGAAGAAAATTTCATGACTGCAATTTATTATCATTTCTAAAACTACCTTTATAGAGATAGCGCACATATTTAGGATTAAAAGAATAATTTTTGCTTTCCTGGCTTGAATCCCAGGATATGTGGAAACATTTTTTAATGCACATTGGCACTTTTTGGCTGATTTGTTTTTTTCCCTGAGACCTTAGTTTTTTATATTGCTTCATGGACAGTTTAGATCTCTCCAAATATATCTAAAAGATATTTTTTGATGGCCAATGAGGTTGTTTTTTAAAGATATGGCAGCATAGTATAATATAAATTTTGTAAATAATTAGTTGAGCCCTGTAGATGCTGTGTTCTTATTACTTTTCCAGCTTGCTCAGATTAGCAAGTTTTTTTCATTCTTATTTTGTTCATGTGGCTATGAAGTGAACTAGATTTAACTTTGCCCAGAATGCACTTTGGGAATCTTGGTAGTAGTGCAATCACCTGCAAAGGGTCAAATGTTGTTTGTAGTACCTCTCATAAATTATACATTTTAAAGATTATTAATTAAAAGCTGCAATATCACAAAAATGCTAAATTCTTCTCAGCTTGGCAATGAGGTGATCATAGTTCACAAGATTTTGGTAATCCTGTAAGATTTCAATTATTTTTCTATGTTTGTTGGTCCCTACATTAGAAAAAGAGTGTTAACTGTTATTTACAATTTCAGATATTCGAAGATATTATAGCAGGCAACGTTCCTTACTGTTAGTTTTATAGTAGGCAAAGAGAAGCCATTTGCTTAAGATCACATTGTTTTTAGTACATTTGTAACTGAAAACAGTTGTAGTAAACAGTAAGGTTGTCCATGCTTTGAAAATAATTCAGAAAAGGTCCCTTGAGAAGTGTGTGGGTATAGCATCTCTTTAAAGCACCCATGTCTTCTTTTTCAGACTTCTGTACAAACCTGGAGAATAATGTACTTGATTTAATGAGTTGAATAAAGGCCCAGCTGCTTGAATTGTTGATGTCCTAAAGCAATCATAATTTTTTTTCAGTCTTATAGAGAAACCTGAAAAAAGACATGACTGTTTTAAAAAGTCTCACTCCTAGTCATTCCAAAGGACCTCTTCTGAATAATTTTAGAAGTCTGACGGGCTCCGCAAATAACTTATAGAGGGATTTTATGCCTATGTCTGTGCTACTGTTAGGTTCTGGAGTGCCACATTTAAGATTATGCATGCCACATTAATACATATTATTATGAACAGCATTATAATGCTGCAGCATGACATGCATTTTCTAACTGTTTATAGGCTTCACATTCTGCCTTGATCAGGATAGGTTTTGACACTATGAAAGCAGTTGTCATACAAAATAAACCGCTTCACCAACTTATAGCCCACATAACCAGACTGAATTTGATTAGTTTGAATTTTAACACCTGTGTCTAGTTCTGCCACAATGAAAAGTGCATATGCCCTAATATTGAGTTGCTGTTGATTATTTGGGGGATTTGTATTCACTCCTGGCAGGAATTATCATTTAGTTGCTCTTTAAGTAAAATGGATGCCTCTGTAATTTTCCAAATAATATTATCTCCATAGAAATCGGTCATCTTCTCTCCTTCATGAAGGCAAAAGAGTAAACCTACAAGTAAGGGAACAGACATACAATGCTTGAAACCTATTCATACAGTCTGTCTCCTCTCAACCCCCATGCATAAAACATTGAACATTATATTTTTAATGGAAAAAGATTTTAGGGCTGCTTGACATGGTAGCAGCATGGAAAATGAAAGCAACTTCCATAGATACTAACCTAGAGGCCATATAGATGTAGACCGGGGGGGGGGGAAACTCAATTTTATTGAGGGCTGCATCAGGGTTATGTTTGACCTTGAGGGGTTAGGATGGGTTTGGCCAGGGTGGGCGTGTCCTGCACGACATCACTTGTGTTGTGATGGCCTGAGCTCTCTGCCATTGTAAATGGGCTCCCAAGCTCTGTTTCCGGCTGGGATAGCCTCCTGCAACCCTCTGCCAGTGAAAACGGAGCTCAGGAGGGCTGCATGCTGCCCTTCTGAGCTCCATTTTTGCTAGCAGAGGCACTGCGGGCTGGTCCTTTACTGTTTCCAGAATGGCCCCACGGGCTAGGTCTAAGCACCCCATGGGCCAGATCCATCCCCCAGGCCTTGAGTTTGACACCCCTGGTGTAGACAATGCCCAGTAGATACTATAAGTCTCCAAACAGTAACTCTACTCAAAAATTCCACACAGGAAGGGTCCTTTTCTTTTAAAATATATAAATAATCTGGAATCCTATCACAGGATTTTACTTTTTACTTTTTTCTGAGTCACCATCATTCAGCAGATCATATGAAATTATCATAAAACCCCCACTCAGATTATATATACCAAATGTAACATTTTAGAAATCCAACTAAACCTTATTAAAATGAATAAATCCAATTAAATCCATAAGTATCTTTGCTATATAGAACCATTACTGTGCTACAATGTAAAGTTAGAGCAAGTATAGGATTTATATTCTGATAATTCCCAAAGTCTGTTGACCCTTGAATGTTTTATGAGAATGATTTATCTCTTAGGCAGTATTATGTATAACAAGCTGATTAATGAAGCAGGTCGGATTTTATTATAAGGCTTAAAATATGTCCAATGATATTTAGTAGAAAGGTGGTTATAACTGGAGGATATATAGATTTCTTCTGTTCAATCACATCTGATTTTTGGCGAATGCCCGGACAAGTCACTGTAGTTTTCTTGGCAAGGTTTTCCTCCTTCTAGCTATTGTCTACTTCCTACAGCTGGGAGATAGTGACTAGCCCAAGGTCATCAGTTGGCTTTGTGCCTAAGGTGGGACTAGAACCAGTGGTAGGATTCAGCCAGCTCGCAACTATCCGGGAGAACCGGTTGTTAACTTTTTAAGCAGCTTGGAGAACCGGTTGTTGGAAGAAATCACATTTTGTTTTTCCCCACTTTACAGGGCTAATCCTGAAAGGAAGGCAGGAAGGAAACATTCTGGTGTTGTTTCTAGCCTAATCTTTACTGCCTTGCTTACAGAAACTGCCTCTCCGGTTAATCCTTATTACATTGTAACAGCTAAGGTGAAGCGCCCATCGATCTGAGTGACATTGAGTTGGCCATGCCCACCCAGTGACATGACCACCGAGCCATGCCTGCCCAGCTGGTCATTAAGGCAGAGAACCGGTTGTTAAATTAGTTGAATTCCACCACTGACTAGAACTAATAGTCACTGGTTTCTGTCCTGATACCTTAAATAGTACATCAAACCGGTATATATACACATACACTCACTGTGTGCATACACACAGATACACACTACATAACCTGTGACCTTTTGGATCAATCCTTACGAGATTCCTCAGTGCTTTCAACAATGACAGAACCTGTAACTGGAAAAGTTGGGATACATTCAGAGATGTATCTGCATTGAAAACAGCCCATATTGAACTGTATAACACAGTTAAACTATAACAGAGGAAAAATAATACAATATTTTGTATTATGTCATAAACTTTCATGATAATGTTTATCATAAAAATATTATAAAATTTGCCAAATTTCAATTCCATAGGAATCGTGGTTCACAAATTTGGGACAATTTCAATAAGTTATAGCAATAGCAATAGTTATCCCATCTGAGGTACCTTAATATATGTTATACATTGCTAATTTAGGATTAATTGTTAAATATCAGATAACTCATTATGGGTAAACATCAATGTTAAATATTATACTTAAGATTAATATTTAAGAATTAGATAACCCTATACTGATAACCCATCTGTCTGCTAAAACACCAGAGTTTGTGGAAACGCTTTTGTCTAAAAATGATTGATAAATTTATCTTTAAAATGTAATAATTTCATTTTGAATGAATTAATTTTTATGAACAACTGAGCTATAAGCTCTTCAAATCTCAAAATAGATGTTCCACTCATCTTATTTATGTAATTTGCTTGAGCTTCCTTTTGAAGCTCTTAGTTCTACTGACTCTGTTGAAATTAACCATAGAAGAAAACTTTTATGAATGGTTTAGGTGGGCCTGGAAATGTAATGCAAGAATTCTATTTGAAAATATTGTACAGAGATTTTAAATCTAGTTGGAGAGTCATATGCACCAGAGATTTTTTAGAGATCAGTGTTTGCAGCGTTCATCTCCTTCCTTTTATTGGAATAGCCCAGCAGATCTATAGATACCCATTTAGAGCAAAGATTGCCATCTAGTGTAAGTCTGACTTTGAAAACTCTTCAAAAAGATAGATGTTGGAGCTTCAGTAAAATGGACAAGATAGATGTGCTCAGATTTTATAAAGTAGCACGATAAAGCCAGAAAACTTTTATATCCTTAACTGTCCTGTTTGCTGAATACATTAATACGAACTGTATGTGTTGTGTTTTTTTAATAAAGCTTTTAATTTTGTTTGTTATAAAAAATTGGAACATATTTGGCACCTTAATTTTAACTGAATGATTTATCTTTCACTCCCTGTCTAGAGTAAATATTATAAATCAAGAGCTTTGGAAGTAATCACTGTTTTGTTCCTCTTAGGAATGTTACATGCTATGGTAGATAGGGAGACAGACAGACATCTAATGAGCTATAGATATAATACCAGCTTTTATTTTCAGGGAAACAAATAGAACAGTTTTGCAGTTCACAATCCTTCAATCTTTCTGGCAACTGCAAAGATAATTGCTGAACTAATTGCTGTATAATGAAAAAAGCATCTGCCATCATTGGTTATTCGTATGCAATATTTTATATGGGATTATTAAAAAAGGTCAGATTGAAGGAGTAACAAAACAAAAAAGTTCTTTATTAAATGTAACAAATGGCACTTCCAGCCTGTTCTAGTACTAGTATCTTTTGGGGGAGAAATATCAATATGGGAATAATTTCTGACAGATGCTTCCATGCAGTAGAGAGAAATTAACATCGTGATGTTCTCTATTAAAATTATTTGAACCATCTCCAAGATGCAGTGTGAGGCACCATGCATATTGAAGCAGCTTTCCTTACTGGCATCCCTCACTGGATTTGTAAAATAAAATAATGGTAACGTGAGATGTGGGCAAATCTTGAAAGACTACTGTCTTTCTACCATCTAACTCCCTCCCTTTCTCTCTCCTCCTGCCCCCTCTCTCTTTCTCTGTGTTTCTCTCTCTCTTCTCCCCTCCCTTTAAAGGGACAGATGAGAATATATCCTTCAAAATCTCCTATTACATGATTCAGAAACTCATGTGCAACAGGGCCTCAAATTCATGCTAGTCTCACTACAAGTATCTGTATTGTTCTGACATTCAGCTCCAACAATGCAGCTCTTGATCCCAACTGTCTTCTTATCTGCTGCAATGCACCAATGCTCACTGACCTCACAGGCAAAGTCTGAAGGAGGCAGTGGTTCCTTGGATCACACATAGAAAAGCTTATACCAAAAGTACAGTATAAGCCCAGGCTTTGATACAATCAGATGGTTGAGTAGATTTCATTGCAGAAATATATTGGCTAAGTTACTTCCAACATTTTATATTACATACTCCAATTGACTGGATCATTGAGTCCTGTAGACCAAACAAACAACTTTGAAGAAAGACTAGATGAAGATGGGATGCAGCGGGAGGTGGGAATGGGTGGGAGTGAGAATGACTCCCCCCCTCAAAAAAAAATTCTGTCCCACCTCTCAAAAATTTACAGCAGCCTGTTTTCAAGTCCTTGTGAAATCACTGACTAGATTTTTAAGAATGCCCTTCTTGAATTCAAGCCTATATTTGCACCGGCCCAAATAGCATCAGGATGGACTTTCAAAGCCCTACCTTGTGTGTGGATGTGAAGGTCCATTCACTCATGTTTAGCTGCCGGATGCTTTGCTGGAGCTTCTGAATGCATGGCTAAAGTGAGTTTTTTGGAGATGGAAATATTTGGAAGTGGTCTCTTACATGAGTTTTTATTATTACTAGTTCATACAAACTATGACAGCCCACAGAGCCTGTAGAAAGTGCTGCTTGATTACTTTAAAGAAATTCAAAGAGTTTAATAGGAGACAAAAATTGGATATCCCACCCCTTTGGGTTTATTCAACAGAAGAATTGTTTGTTTCCATTTAATTAACCTTTCATTTATCTCTATTGTGAGTTGTTTTCTTCTGCAGTAGAGGATATGTTTGTGCAGTTAATTAGCCTTTGCTCAAAGCAAACACATCCATACTTGTTGGATTCATTCTGTAAACATTGGACCAAAACTACTAGCTATGTTGGAACATTTTCCATGTATCTTTTCATATTTTAGTACAGACTCTTGAGTTCTGTTTGCTTTTATTGCTGCTGATCCAAATGTTGTCCCTCTTGCTTTGTCTACCTTCTGTGACTTTTGCCCATGGTCATTCTGCTGCAGGCCTATTTTTAAAAAAAGACAAAGAACACCATCCAATTGGCCATCATTCTGTTTCTGTGGCAATTTCATTCACATACTCACATCTAGCATTTCCTTTGTTGGGATGACCTTTGGGATTTACTGTTATAAGCTTTTAAATATTGAAGGGTTTATTTCCCCTGAGTTAGGATAGTCAGGTTTCTGAATTTTGAGATAGTATTTTTGATATGTGCAATAATATAACATACAATACATGCAAAGGCATAGTTCTATAAACCTGTACCAGAAAGAGGAGATGAAACGAAACTATAGAAGTGTAGTAAGTTCTGAGTAGCAAGTCTTCAAACCAGCTTTTCTTATTTGTATTTGAGATTGTGGATTGGACAGTCAAATGGATATCAGTATGGTATGAATGAGTGAAACTGTTTTTATAGATACCAAGGTAGTGGTTAGCCAGTGTTAGGTTTCTCCTTCCCCTCTCCCCTACCAGATTTTTAATGGCTTTGTGTTCTTAGGTGAAAAAATTTTGGGCTGAAAAACAGCGTAAGTGGCAAGAAAAGGAAGCAAAAGACCTCCTGCGTTTGGCAGAATTTAAGAAATTAATGGCTGAGCAGATCGTTAAAGACAAAGAGAGGTAAATGTATTGGGGGGGGGGGGAATAAATCTACCTGAAGATAATATTTTAATACATTTTCTTTTAAAAGTATTTCTTTTTTATTTAGCTTATAATGCTCAAAAGCACAACATGATTTTAAACAGAATGTTCCTGAAACTCCTTATCAAAAGATGGTTTCTTTCACTCTTTAATGGATTTGGGATGAAAAGAAAAAATATAGAAGAAATGGTGGGAAAATGTTCTAGTAGTTACACATACAAAAAAGTATTATTTTGGCTCCCAGTAAATATGCCATGAATCAAGCGGGGTTATTCCATATCAAAATCTTATCTAGAAGGGAAAAAAATATTACATGCGTTCAGTCTGAGATTGTGTGTACTGTACAGTACCTTAGGAGTACCGGTAAGTGCCATTGTACTTGTAGGTCAAGATACAAGTAGTATTGCAGGGTAGGGTTTATTTGGCCCACTTAAGTCTTTTCCAGCCCTACCAGTAAAGATATGTAGTAAGTTTCAAATATTAAACACATGGTGAGCTTGGCCAGCTTTTTTTAAAAATTGCAAACAGGTGTGTCTAACTGGAAGTGTTTTGGGCTTGAAGTATTTCAGTTTCAAAATGATTTGTGAACCTTTGTATATCAATCTTCTACTGATGTAAAACTGAACCAACATACTGGTAAATTTTGCATAGTTTAGAATTTATATAAAGAATCATAATTCCAGGATCACTGGATATCTTCCTGTAGATACTTACCTCCAATCAATTTACCATGTCCTTGCATGAACATAGGTCTTTCTATTTGTGTTATCCTTCCATCTATCCCAGTGCTATGAACCATGACGAGAAATTGTTTTCTCCAAGATTACAAGCTGTAGGATTTCTTCTGCTATAACTCAATGATAGCTTATATAATTGAGCTACATAAATCTATAGCTATAGATTTGTAGCATCCAGCTATTTTAGAAAGGCTGTTCAATAAGACAAATATATTCTCTCTAGTTCAGTGGAATAGGACCTAATTTTAAATTTCTAACAAGGGATTTAAGTCAAATCTAAGGAATAAATTTCTGATTATATAGGCTATTCAGCAGTGTTGCTGAATATTTAACAGATTGCCTTGGAGATGGTGACTCTCATCAGTGATAAGTAGTTGTGCTGCCTTCTCTTTAAATCCCATGCAAGTATTCTGTCATTAGCAGGAGGTTAGAGATCACTTTCTATTGTAATTCTATCATTATGTGCTTTCAAATTCTGTCAGTTTCAATTCAAAGCAAGGAATAACCTCCAACCTTCCTATAGATCTGATAAAGCACTTTTTCTCTTCTTTTTCAATCTTTTATTATAATCTTTTATCCTTTGAGATTGGAATCCTCCAACAAATCCAAACTCCTGCTTTTCTGTAGCCTAGTAACATAAAAATGAGAATGAATAGAGAATTAGGACTCTCCAGTCCAGGGATGTGAAACTCCTGGCCCGTAGGCCCGATGCATCATGCGCTGGCCACGCCCATGCCTGGTTTAGCAAAAGGGGGGACTTGATATGTCATGTGACGATGCCATGACAATGTGAGTTTGACACCCCTGCTCCAGCCAGTTCCATGAGGCAAATGTCTGGTTTAAATTACTTCCAAAGATGGAGGATGGGAAAGAATTAAAAAGCGTAGGAGCCTAAATGCATCAGAGTCAACTCTAGACCAGTTCTCACCATGCTCTTTTTATGGTCTCTCTCTGGTTGAGATCTCTCCGATTTGGAAAGCACCAGACAGGCGGGAAAAGGAGTGAACGGGCCCTGAAACCTGCAGAATTGGGCAGCTCATTGTTCACAGCCATGAATCCAACATTGGAACAACTATTTTAGGAAACATTTGAGCCTCCTTAGAGCCTACTTAGTATTATATCTGTCATTCCTTAATTTTATTTATTTATATCCTGCCTTTACTATTTTTATAAATAAATCAAGATGGTGAACATACCCAACCCACCTTCCTCCTGCTATTTGCCCCCGTAATAGCAGCCTATGAGATGAGTTGGGCAGAGAGAGAGGGACTGGCTCAACTCTCCCAGCTGGTTTTCATGGCTAACGCAGGACTAGAACTCAAAGTCTCTTGCTTTCACTCTTACAGGTGCCTTAAACACTAGACCGAATTAGCTCTGTTTAATTCTACATTATTTATTTAATACATCTATTTAATATACTGTAGACAGCAGCATTTAAAATATCTGTTTTTTCCCCCCATTTTAGTATGATCTGTACTTAGAGAGCAGATGTGATCGTAGTTTAAAAAAGAATCAATCATGTGCTATGTCTCCACTCTAGTCGCCAGTCCACTGGGAGATTAAAGTCCTACCTAAAGATTTTGTCAGTTTCACTTCCTAAAAAAACAAAGAACTAACTGATGATACTTCAGTGACGAACAGGGTCTACACATTTTGATTTCTTCAGGGATGCTTAAATGGTTTTAACCATTTCAGTTAAATGGTTCCCTAATAATGTCAAAATCCAAACTCCACAGGCTGAGGTGAATCTATGAGAATGATGAGCGACTGCAGTTAAGTAAAGAGAGAGGGATAATTGTTTGAGACGTGGTGTTTAATTATTTTATGCATAAAAGGTGTTTGTTTTTTAAAAAAAAAGATGTCTTCTTTCTCTTCAAAAAGGAATAGCCAGTCTTCATTAGCTTCCATTTCACATCAGATACTGCAGCATCCAACTCCACATAACTCTGCTTGAGTTGTCATCCCGTATTATTTAGAAAGCTCATATTTTTTTTAGTGAAATGATCCTCATGGCAATTTCCAACAACAGGTGTACAACTTTCTCTCCCCCCCCCCTTTTTTTTAAACTCACACACAGGCATACTGATGCTCACCCCGACACAGAGCACGTGTTCCTCTGTTCAGTGGCAGAAATCAGATAACATACTTCTTTTCAGCCGCCTCATCCCCACTCGCCCTTTTTCTTTTTCACTAGATGGGCCTTTGTAGTAGTTGCCCACCGCTTCATGCATCTGAAATGTAACACAGGAACCCACCCTCGATTTTTCTTACAGTAGTCTGGCTTCTAATCCAAACAGATGTTCTCTTTCCCAGCTAAATTGCCAGATGAAAGAAGTTGAGCCCCCACATGACTGACTCAGGTAATCCTCTGCCCGCACTGAGATTCTGAAAACGTATTTGCTAGAACTGCCAGACATAAGTACACAAATGCGAGGCCTCTGTGCATCAAATGCTCTTAATTCCGTTTCCCCCCTACAGTTTCGTTTGCTATATTTTCTTCGTCATTTTCTATTGATGTGGAAAACGCCAATGTTTTTGGAAGGTGCCCATAGAGAAAGGTTACAGTAATATCCATAGCTTCCTCTGATTGAGTCTTTTTACTCTGTTTATTTCTTGGGAAGGGAGGGAAGGAGAGAGAGGAGGAGAGGGGAGGGGGAAACGGAAGGAAGGAAGGGAAGGAGGAAGGAAGGAAGGAAAGGAGGGAGGAAGGAAGGAAGGAAAGAAGGGTTATGAGTTTCCCTTCTCCCCAGCTATTTATTTGCACTTCTTTCAGATTCAAAACAAAGGATTCAGTGCTTCAGAGCAACTTATCCTCATAGATCTGCTTTTGAGATCCATTAATTATGTAGCATCTATATAAAAAGTTCTATTTAAAGTGCTCACTTATCAGTGCATAACTCAACAGACGTGTCAGGTGCCCGTTTCTGTAATTTTATGGGTTGTTGATCACAGACTATATTCATGATGTAAATGTCACATGAGATACGAAGTTGTGAATTCTTCACTTGATTTTCTTCCCTATATATTCTATATAAATTATTGTGAACGTCCTCAATTTTCAGATCCCTGAGTTAATCCATAGTGCTTCAGCATGAAATCTAATTTTGAAGGTACAATTTAAAAAGTGGGCTAGGGATGTTGTAGAATTGCCCAGACATAATAATGGAAATAAGAATCATTTATTTGGATCATTCAAAAGGATTCTCCTTTTTATCAATTTTCCCCTGATCCTGACTACTTTGGAATTATATAAAAATATTATGCTTGGGATGGTATTTAAGACCCAGGACTTAGCTAGTAAGGGATATCTATTCTGCCCCAAATAAAGATTCAGTTAAAATTAATAATATGTTAGATATACCATAGTCTGAACCACTAGAAGGAACCCTGATTAAATAGGATTATTTTATTGTTACACAACCTTCCTCTAATAAGGTAACTGTAAATCACACTAAATGTAACTTTTATTTATTTATTTAGTTATATTTATTTATATAGTTATCATCTCACCAAAAGTGACTCAGGGCTCAGGAATTATTTCTTATATAAAGGCAATTTTACCAATTTTGTAGCTATTTAAAGGTATAAAAGGTTCATCCTAACCATTTGTAGCTAGGTATCATTTCATTAATATTTATATGCTTCCAGTGTCACTATTTTGAATGAAGGGTGATATTTTGCTAGTAACGTAAATAGGGAATACAGTCAATAATAAGAATATTTTTCAAATTAGCTAGTGGCTTTGAAATTTGCAAAAAGGGCCTGTGTACATAAGCACGTTGAGAGCCATAGTTAGCAATGGTTAGAATGCAGTACTGCAGGCAGTGGTGGGATTCAGCCAGTTCGCACCACTTCGGGAGAACTGATTGTTAAGTTCCTGAGTGGTTTTGTGAACTGGTTGCTGGAAGAAATTATTAGGGCACAGAACCGGTTGTTAAATTATTTGAATCCCACCACTGACTGCAGGACTAACTCACTGCCCACTGCCAGCAATTCAATCCTGACCGGCTCATAGTTGACTCAGCCTTTCATCCTTCCGCGGTCAGTAAAATGACCCAGATTGTTGGGGGCAATAGGCTGACTCTAAACCATTTAGAGAGAGCTGTAAAGTACTATGAAGTGGTATATAAGTCTGAGTGCTATTGGTAAATGCTATTGATAAGCCAGAACTTTGCTTGCTGTGTTTTTTGATCATAGGCATAGACGTGACTTTGTGTGATTCTTCCTCAGTTAGCAAGTATCAGTTAGTTATTTGGGGTTGGACTATGGAAAATTGCAATAAAATTTATCAGTGCATTGGGTGATAAGCCACCTAAATGCATTTTCATATTATTTATTGATTCATACAGAAATAATGTTTACTACAAAATGAGGACATTTGCAGTCCAATCCTATGCATGCTTATTGAACTTAATATTTTCTCCTGAATAAATCCGAATTGCATTGTATTGTAACTTAGGTAACATAAAGGTTCCTAGACAAAAGACAGTTTGCAATGCTTCTTTAATTAAGGACTTCATTGTTCCCAATAGTTGGCTGAATAATAAAGTAATATTGAGAAGATGAGTATACAGTATACAGTAGATGAGTAGTATGACATTGATTTTGTGATTTCTTGTTCAAAGAGTTCAGTTTAGGCAAAAGCTGTTGGAAAAGCGTTTGATGGAGAAAAAAGTAGCAATCCTCAAGGAAATCCAGGAAGAAGAAGAAAGGAAGAAGCGCCTTGATGCTCTCAGAAAACAGGTATTTTCACTGTCCGTTTTCATATGCAATTAAGGCTCAGCATAAAATTTACTGTGATTGAGACATCAATCTGTCACAAAATGAAAAGGGGAAAAATTTCTTGCCCTTTATAGCTCATTGTATATCACATTGTGTATTTTGACATACAACATTGTTGTTATTGTTTTCAAAGTCCACATGGCAGAAGGCTTTGACCATTAATCTAGAACTAGACCTAATTATTTTCTACATGTGTGAAATTAACAGAAACCAAATTATTGACTGCAATCAATATGCTTTTCCCTTTTCCTTTTTGTCTCTTTCACCAGAGTTATAGAGGTATCCATGGATTGTAATACCATTCACAGAACGCTGGTTATTGGACAATGTAAAATGGTTTTCTGCTTAGTAGTTCCTTCATTAGGATATTGTTTTCTGCTTGGTTGATTACCTTGTGTTAATCCCTGCTTATCTGTGTGTAGGATGCTGGAGAAAGGGAGTGTTCTGGTCTATTGTTTTTTCTCATGTATTTTGTATGGTGTGTAAATGTGGCTTATCTCTATGTGTCTGGTGATGGCTCATTTGTCTGAATGCCAAACTTCCAGGAATTCTCTAGTGTTTTTTTTTAAAAATATTTTGCTTGGACTAAGATTGGATTACAGTTTCCTAATTGAAATTATGGTTGAATCTGTCTATGTAATATGAGATTAAGGAGTTTCATCATATCTTCTGACTGCTACTTGGTGCTCATGGATGTGCTCTGTTAATTTTCTGCCCGTCTCTCCTCAACAGTGACTGTTACAGTTCTTACACTCTATATTGTAGATGGAGTTATTTTTCCCTTTCTGGGATCTTTTAGCTTACTTAAGATGTTTTGCTGGACTCTACTTGATTTGCATGCTATAAGTGATGCCATGTGCTGCACCAAGGACTCCACAGTTCAACCCTGAAATATTTATATTCTTTTCTATAGCAAAAGGATATCTTTAGTCTGCACAAAAAAATCAAATAAAGGCTAAAAGCATTAGCATTAGAGAGCTAAGTGTGTCCTCATATCTATTAATGTATTTTTGTCCCTGTCTTCCTTGATTACATGTTTGTGTGTTTTTTTTCCCAGCAAGATTTATATTGATGAAAATAGAAAGAATGAAATGTGTATAATACAGAGATCCAGGCTAGTCCAGTGGTTGGAAGAAGTCTTTCCGATGCCTAATTTTCAAAGGAAATATTTGCATATTTGGAAAGAATATATGTCACTCATTTCCCAATTAGTCACTTTTCCTACAAACAACAAATTCATTTTCAAAATCAGCAATATTCTGACACTATGGATTTTTATACATGTATATATTTCTGCTACTGTCAGAACTTTCCATTATGATTCAGAAAAAATGGTCAAAGTTTTTCTTTGGTATAATTTCAACCTCAAGCATTTTTATAGCTGCAAAGGCTATGCAGTGTTGCCTGCTGAGTCTTAGGCAATGCAAGTGATTGCATTGGAATGAGTCTCCAACCCAGTAGAAGGTTGCTACCAAATGGCATCAGAATCCACAATTACTGTTTCTGGCTAATGCTGAAATTTCCATCTGCTGATTTGTAGACTCTGTAATCCTTAAAAAAAAGAAAAACCATCCAGTCCATCCCTCCAGCAAGCATGCTTTTTCGCCCTTCTCATTTGAGAAATGTCATAGATATAAGTCCTCTTACTTGAAATCTTTGAGAACTTGAGGTTTAATAGTCCAGTTCCATGAATGTTTATTCAAAAATATGTTTCATTGTATTTATTGGTTCTTAATTCATGGTAATGAACATTGGGCTACAGCCATCAAAGCATTACAGGCATTGTAGTTGGGGATTGGCAGAAACTGCCTGGTCCCTTCATTTGCAACCATTCAGAAAGAGTGGGGGGGGGGGAACCCATGCTACCTGCATCTGGAGATACTTTTCCAGTGATCACAAAGAGTTTAGATGACTCTGACACCCAGCGCAACAATATTGACACTAGGCCAAGTAGTCCTGTTTGGATGCATCTGACAATCAATAATAATTCCTGCTTTTGTAACCATTAGTACCTTGAATTGATAGGGAGTTTGTATCCTGCTTCTTAACTGTATGTATTGTTAGATTGCCTTGTGTAGTGTTACTAGACATCAAAGACATCTAAGCCATGTTCCCTCTGTTTGAAGGCATAAGACCAAATAGCATCTAGTGTCTTTTCTGCCATCAAACTGAACGCTTCTCTTTTTTTTTCTTCAGGTGGCATACATAACTATTTCATGTCAACTTCATTTCATTGTTGTCTAAACTATGTTTTGCAACAATTGCTCTGTTTGTAAGAATCGGCTGGTGTAGCATTTTTTCAATAGTACTTATTTCAGCTTTTGACATTGATTCTCTAATGGTACTATTGCACTGTCCTAGCAGCTTGGTTTGACTTGTTAATGTTGGCTTGTAATTTTCATCTTTAACCGGTGGTTAAATTGTTCCTAGCTTTGGTCTCAGTGAGAAATACTTGCCAGTCATAGAGAAAATTAAACAGATTCCTTTGGGGGTCTTTGGGGTCCAAATCCTTACTGCTTTTCACAGAAAACCGCCACCAGTGCTTCTTCAAGATGCTCCCTGTCTGTTAGCTTGTGGGCAGCTTTTATCTGCTAAGTGCCAGTAGACACAACCCAGAATTTATTGACTTCCTCTGGCTGCCAAGTCAGAGAAGATGCATGAAATCAGAAAGTCATATGGCGTCTTGGTCCATTTTCCATACTGGAGGGTATCATTATTATAGTTCAGTGCAAATGATGAGAACAGACTGGATGACTAAATTTTGATTTTAGAGCATCCTAGAGGATATTACAGAAGGAAACAAATTTTCAGCATTAGAAATCAATAACATTAGCCCGGTGATTTAAAACCCTACACTTCTAAAACCAATAGCAGCAAAAGGACCCCAAATTCTGGGTGGAAAGATGTGCTATGAGCAACTAATGAAGCTGACTTGCCTGTCATTCCTAATGCACTTAGAAAGGTGGACATTCCTGACAAGGAACCACACTTGATGAGGCCTTTGCATAGAATATTCATGATGGGCTCATGAATATTGTCCATCATGGCTAAAGCTCCCTCCTGAAATATTGAAAGCTGGATTAGAACAGACTAGGAGAGGCAATCTAAATGGCACCCAAGCTATTTAAGGCTGTAAAAGTCAACTCTGAGGTAGACAATGAAAATCAGCTAGGAAGCAAATAGGTAGTTACAGATCCTGGAGCATACATAGGTAATGTAGCAATAAATCATCTCTCAGTAATCCACAGGCTATTACCGATTGCCAAATTTGGCAACAGCAACAAAACAGAAAATCTCACATCAATTCTTTTTCTTAAAAACCAAGCAGTGGCCTCTGGAGATGAAGCAGCAGTTGTTTTTCTGAATTTAAACTAAAAGCTATAGTTGCTCCGAACTGCCATACTTGAGTTTACGTGAACAGAAACCTGTTTTTTCAGGTCTCCAATCTGAACCAGATTATTAAAATTGCCTTTGAGCAGCTAATGTAAACTATAGAGATGGTCCTTATTTAATGACCACTTATTCAGCAACCATTTGAACTTACAACAGTGTTGGATGAGTAGTAGTTTTGATCAGTCCTCACACTTATGTCAGTTGCAGCATCGGTGATGCACATGTGATTGCGATCTTGGTGCCCAGCTCACAATTATGGCATCATAGTATCCCATTGTAGAAAACCCTCCCATTCCAGAAAAATGAAATATTTTGAGAAATATTACAAGTCAGAATATTATATTTCCCCAGAGGGAGAAATGGAGAAACATGCTCTTAAGGGAGGCAGAAACCAGCCCCCGTCTCCCTGCCCCCAAGCAGAAACTGAGGAGGCCAGCTTTTAGAAATGCAGATTTGGTAATCCATTCAAGACAGGATATTTCAAAACTCCTTGGCAGAATGGTAGGATTAGAAAGCAGCCCCTTAACCAAGATCCAACACAGGAGGAAAGCCATTAGCCACAATAGGATCTGCCCAACACCCTTTCAGAACACAAGCCCCTTCATTGCACCACCCCAGAACAGTCCAAACTTCAAAGAAACAGAAACCTATAAAAATTCATTGATTCATTCAACCATTTTGTCTGTGGACCAGAATCACATGTGGTTGGTGGTTCTGTTTCATCAATAAACCTTTTTTTCCAATCAGCCTCCATGTCTCCAGTGTCTTTCTCTCAACTTGGAATGGAACCAGATGAATTTTCCTTCCAACACTGTGATCATGTTATAACCATTTGCAACTTTTGCTGGCTTCCTAAAAGCACAGTAAATGGGGAAACCAGCAGGAAGTCACAAGTGATGACAATGTGATGACCTCACCTAAGGACCCCCTATGGTACACCTAACAATAGCAACCAAAAGTGTCAGAATCTCCATTTTTAAGCATCACAGTCACATGACATCGGGGTTTATGATTCCAATGATTACCTGAGGGCTATCTGTATGTTGAGATGGACCACAGTCTCTGTCCACTTCTCTGACACCCATGTCATGTTAGGAAGATGTTTGGGCCTCTGAGTTTGTTGAAAACAACTAATTATTCTTTGCCACTGCTGCTGGAGTACATGCACTCCATAAAGCAATAATTCTAAAGAAATGTTCCTGTGATAATGTATGCATTACCTTATTATTAACCTAATGCCACCGTTTTACTTAAAGTATCCCACTTATATTTGAAAGGCTCCCTAAAAATGTAATAGTCACTGATGGGAAGTCACTTAAAGGTTGATTGTGTTGCTTCGATGTGAAACAACAGCCGTGGCAGACTATAAAATCACTGCTCCCCAGTCATCTTTTCACATTGAGGCAGTCTCAATAAGAATCCACATTCTTTTTTTAAAAAAAAAACGAATGCTGTTATTAATCTCAGCTCTAGGTTGAGCAGCTGATAGCATTTGAATAGCTTTCATTATTCATGTGTCCTCCTCTCACTGATGATATGGCAATAAAATGTAGAAATATATTTAATTA